ACTTGACCATCCCGAACTCTGTGACCCACATTGGGGAGCATGCCTTTGCGGATTGCATCTCTTTGGCGAACTTGACCATCCCAGACTCAGTGACCTACATTGGGGAATCTGCCTTTTTTTAGATTGCAGCTCTTTGACGAACTTCACGATCCCACCCTCAGCGCCCCACATTGGACATTTTGTCTTCCAGAATTTCAGCTCTTTGGCGAGCTTGACCATCCCAGACTCAGTGACCCACATTTCAGATGGTGCCTTTGCACATTGCAGCGACCTACATTGGACATCAAGCCTTTTCAAACTGCGCTGCTCTGGTGTTGAGAGTGTCCATCTCTGGGACTAGGATCGAGATGCACAAGCTACACACCTTAGAAGAATCATGGTAACAGAGTTTCACTGTCGTGAATGCAAGCACAGCCAGCTGGTTTGACAGTGACAGTGACACACAACAATGGGTTTCATGAACGGTGACACTCTGTTACCATGAACGAGTGTCCCCTCTGAACAGTTGGGTTTGTCCCGGTGCCACTCGCTGTGCCCACCCCGTCCGGAGCTACCGCTGCGACCTGGTGAAAAGAGAGGCGCGGCGCTGCAACAGCGCTCGCCTGGCGGTCACCTGGCGGTCGTCTGACCCAGAAGACTGGAGAGTCGACTGGTCCGAACTTGAGTCAAACTTAAGTCCAAACATGTCGACATGCTTCGTGTGACTCGATCCAATTCCCTGACCTCGACCCGGGTGAACTGTCACCAACTTCAGTGAAAGTCCCGACCTGAGGGCCTCCAGCAGATTAATCAAATTCCTGACTTGATCAACTCCGGGCAGACTCGACCAGGATGGATTCCCGATCCTTTGGCGTTTCACCCCGAGGTTGATCACGTCTTCTCCACCGCCCGCTTGGAGATGAAACATGAGAGGTTTGACCGAAGCCAACAAAATTGGACCCCGGTTTCCTATTGTTGGTTTGACCCACCGGTGTCCAACCCAAACGCTTCGCTCTACAGGTCGTTGAAGTGCTTCCTCGCGTGTATCCCTTGGTGCTGGGTGAACTGGAGCATAGACCGCCAGCAGCGAAGACACAGGGCAAGGCGGGGAATCAACTGCAGGCACTGCGTGCCTTGGCATTCTAGATCGTGGATGGGGATGGAGCTGTGACAGGGGGATGGAGCTCTCAGTTTATATTATAGGCCATGGCTCTCTATGATCATGCATGTTCCAAAGTCACTGGCAAAAGAAGTGTACACATAGAGTTCTGCATATATGTCTTGCAAGTAAACATGTTGGGTAAACCGGGGGGGCCATGCTGAGGGCTAGACAACCATGGGTTTTATAGAAAAAATAGCCTTTCGGGCCACTCAACTCATCGCGTTGGAGTTCACAAACTCCAAAACAATGACTTGAGTGGATTTGCCTCGTCATCAGCTCATCCTACGCATCATGCCCGTAACGCATCAGCGAAACGCATCAGCACATCATCCGCATCATGGTTGTTCAGCATCAGCGCAACATCCGTGTCATGGCACGTAGCGCATCAGCTACATCACCATCACCATCATCATCATCATCATCATCATCAGCGAAGTGGATCATTTGCATCTCACCAGACCATGTTGGGTCATCGGAAAGGTGGCCTTTCCGGGCAAACCGGCAAACCCCCCCGTTGACCCAACATGTTGCAACTTGAGGCTTTGCACCTGGACACTACCTGCAGATGATGGATGCCAACATGGGAGCCTTCTTCGGGGAGGCCAGTTTGGCTGCTGAGGCGTTTAGGTTTTGCACTCCCACGCTGGTTCTTTCGCGTTGCAGTAGAGAAGTGGCTGCAACAGCGAGGTCAAGGATTTTTTTGGATGAGAAGTGGCCATCCTTGGCTTCAACCAACTTTGCGTGGAGCCGTAGTTCCACCATCTACGACCTTTCGCTGTGCTCTTCATTGAGTCCATCCTTCCCCGGGGCGCGTGCTTGCTGACATGTGTTTCAGAGCCCCTCCCCGTTTTTTCTTTACCACCACGGTTGCCTTTTCAATTTTAGACAGTGTCCACATCCACACGCCTACCCCTGCCTGGGATCCTACCATATCATATACTATCATTTACTATCACAAATATGGCCTATAACCAGCTAAGAAGATACACTGTATAGTGAGACCAGTAAGGCCTGCCTATGCCTGCCTGATATGTCACGAGCGATATACTCGCAGGCCTGCAAAGTGCCTTTCATCCTGCAGCACTTCCAGCCCGCGGGCAGCGATCGCAGGAGAGTGCTCCCGTGCCGATGGGTAGCGCATGGGCGCGTGGGCGCGTGGTGGTGCATGAGACAGACATGCGTGCGTCCATTTGTGCCGATGCCTAGAAAATGCAAGTCCCAGGCATGCCGGTCAAGATTGAATCATCCACATCATCCACCTGCGACCTCGCGAGGTCGCAGCTGATTCGGGATCAGCCCTCCATGGAGTACATCGTAGCACTCCTCCGTGTAGAGTCACGAGCAGGATGAGGTTGTCAGAGTTCACGGACAACCTATATATAGGTACCTTAATTTAATAGGGAGACCTCCAACCAGCCAATAGGTTTCGTTTATTTGCCCTTCTTCCAGGGGTAGAACTGGCAGCCCTCCCTAGATATTTCAATATACCCATTTACTAGACACCTTGCAAGGACCTTCATTGGATTTGGCCAGCGGACCAGGCAGTTCGTGCCATCCCAGCATCGCCTTCGGCGGTCGCAGCGCCGACCGTTCCGTCGCCAGGACGGTCCAGGCTCGGATCATCGGTTTCCGAGAACACATCTTCACTGGCAGCCATGGAGCTGTAGGCGCCGATGGAGATGGGTTGTGGAGATGGGACGGTTGTGTGTGGTGAAGATGGGCTTCGGTGCGTGAGGAATGGATGTGATGAGTGTGAGATCTCCCTGCACGAGGATAGAAGGTGGACTGTCCAACAACCCTTGCTGTGGGAGGAACTGGTTTTCCAGATAGGTTTTGAGAATGTTGGACATATGTTACGATCCACTGAAATGCAGTGGTTGCCCAAGTACGGGGGCACCGTCACGTACTATCAATATCTATCAATTAGATATCCAAGTCCAAATCATTAAAGTTCAATTAAAGTTAAAGGCTTCCTTTGAATCTCAAGTCGCCGGTACCTGGATCTCAGTCTCACGAAGAACTACCCCCCACTCGGCTTCCTGTTCCATTTCTCAAGTGGGCGAGTGTGACCGACGCACGGTGGTTCTTTGAACCATGCGAGTCTAACCCAGATGTTCGTAAGGTGGTGCATTGTGACATAAGGTGATGCATTGTGACACATATTCATATAATACTAAATATATAATTCCTAATATGCATATTTTAATTATATACAATGTACAACAACCTTTTTGATCTCCCTCTTTATCCCTGAGGTAAATCCTCTGTCACCCACCGGTCACATGAAGCTTTTCCACCCGGTTCTTGTGTTGCCTGGTGATCACCCGGTGACGTCCAAACGAGGCGCCGCGATGGCCGATGCGGAGTGGACCTTCGGCACCATCTGCCAACGCTTCCTGGCGGGCCTCGGCGCGCGGATGCACTATGGGCCTCTCGGTGCACGCAAGCAGACTCGGCGCGGAGAAGGGGCGGTTTGGGGCGGAGGAAGAAGGCGGGACATGGTCAGTCCAAATCGGGAGAGAAAGGACCAACGAAAAGGCTCCACATGGTCGTACGGGCACCGCGACCGTGATAGCCGATATCGCTTCATGCAGGAACGTCACGATCGTCACATGCTGGCATGTTCCATCGCTGGGCGGACGGTCTGGCAACCGTTTGGCCGTAGCGTCGGGTTGGCGGCTCGCGAGTGGAGTGCACTACAGTCTCTACAAGCTGCAGAGTACACTGGACCAGAAGGCCAGACTATAGTGGTGCTAGGGCTGCTATGGCCATCAGAATCATCACATCGCGCACACTCTGACATTGGTTTTCAGTTACACTCAGTTCCCACGTTGAGAAGGAAGGCGATGGAACGGCATGGTGAAAGGTCCAAAGACTTGAAGGTGTTTTAACATTCAGGTTTCTCATCTGCAGTGGTGCGACGACGACGCGCGCGAGCGGCGAGGGAAAGGGTTTAGGGGAAGTAGCATGAACCACCATGGAAACAAACAATGAAAGAGTGGAGTGACAGCTTGTACAACAGTTCGGCAGGTACGTTTGCAGCCCCCCCAGTGGCCTCTTCGTTGGCCATCCGCCACTGGGGAGGGGGATGGCCCCCCTGCCTTGTTAAGTGGTGGTAATGGAAACGGTGGCATTGGACCCTTTGGTACAGGGGGTGACACACACACACATAGCTGTAGTCGGCGCGGTCTCCCCTAGCAAAGTAGTAGTGAGGCCAGGGGCCTCCAGTAGCGTCCTGACTCCCCGGGGAACATTTGTACAGAAAGCGCCAATTGTTGGCATAGCGAAAAACTATTAGTCACCTAAAAAGCCTAAGAAAGACAGACAAAGCAAACAAAACAAAAGCAGACTAAGAGGGTAAGAAAGAATTATAGGTGTAGTTGCGAGGCCCACTTAGTTAAACGAAAGTAGTTTGCGAGCGGGACATTCGTCTTAAACCGCCCGGGTAGCTAGCAATAGACTAGGAGAAACAGAAGGAAAGGCACCAACACACAAGTGTGTTGAGTGCGATTTCCTTCTGTTGCTCAGTAGCGGGTGGGATAGCAGAGGAGATCCAGGGGCAGGGAGGGGGTGCATGATTAATTCGTCCGGCCTGTGAATACTTAGCAGAGTGACATGGACGGTGAATACTTAGCGGCATGTGGCAGACTGAGAGAATCCCGTTTTTTGGCCCGGCGGCCTTGGAAGCAGTAAATTCAGTTAAGGTTGATCAAGTGGTGAATTCCTGTGAGAAGTGGAAAAGCTCAGTTACACGATTTCCGGCATGAATTCAGCGCCCCAGTGACGGGGATCACACTCAGCACCCGAGTGGGACGGCTGAGCGAAACACACTCTGACATTGGTTTTCAGTTACACTCAGTTCCCACGTTGAGAAGGAAGGCGATGGAACGGCATGGTGAAAGGTCCAAAGACTTGAAGGTGTTTTAACATTCAGGTTTCTCATCTGCAGTGGTGCGACGACGACGCGCGCGAGCGGCGAGGGAAACGGTTTAGGGGAAATAGCATGAACTACCATGGAAACAAACAAAGAAAGAGTGGAGTGACAGCTTGTACAACAGTTCGGCAGGTACGTTTGCAGCCCCCCCCCAGTGGCCTCTTCGTTGGCCATCCGCCACTGGGGAGGGGGATGGCCCCCTGCCTTGTTAAGTGGTGGTAATGGAAACGGTGGCATTGGACCCTTTGGTACAGGGGGTGACACACACACAACATCGCAGAACTACTATAGACCATCTTGCTACTGATAGGCCCTACATGGCCCTACGGACCCTTACCGATCGCACAGTGACCTTCATACGGAACAACGACTGTAGGGGCTTTAATTCTCCCTAGTACATGAGGTGGTTGGTTGGAACTCCAAGGCATCCGGACTTCTTGGACGGCTTTTGGGCCTCCAATCGCGGCTCGATGTCCAAGGCTCGGAAGAGACATGAGATGAATAGATGACCCTCACTTTTGTCCATCCGTCCATCAGTTCTCCATCAGTTTTTGGATGATTTTGGATCTCTTTTAATTGATTTCTTTCTTACTTTTCTTTGAGGGACAGTGTGTCAGTGTCAGTGTCACGTGTGTGTCTGTGTCCTGTCCAGGCATCTCCCGTGCTGAACCTGTCCGAGGACATCTTCGCGGGCTTCAACGTACTCATGCGTGGCTTGGCAGCGGATGACTGGAGACAGGGCATTGGTCAAGTGCCGATGAAACGGAGACAAGTGATAAGTAGTGAAAAATGCACAACAAGGTTGCGCTTCACACTGATTACCGGGTAATCACTGTGATTTTGGATGCTGCACTGCTTCTGGTTGAATGGGGGTGCTTTTCAACTGGGTTGGTGCATGGACGGGTGTGGGCTCCTCTTTGGGGTGCCCTCTTCCGAAACCTCAGGTGGTGAGCGGTCCACACACGTGGACTGTTTGGAGTGGGAGAAGGGCAGAGAAGTCTCCTTCAACTCGGCCTCGTTGTTCTTCACCAAAGTGGCCAGTGGAAACGTGGGAGTGATGCGCTCTCGCGATTTGAAGACCCTGCAGCTTGGAGAGATAAAGAAATGGGAGGTGGACACATGACGCTCACTTTGGAGCTCAACGTCACATAATCACATACCAAGTCAAGTGCATCATAGTGCGTCCAAGGTCGCTGCTTGGGTGGCACTTTATGTTCAAATGCTGTAGACAGCTAGCTCAGCTACGGACGACCCCAAAGGGTTTTTTTCCTGTGTTTGGTGTTGGTGTGAACGAACCTGGGTGCTAAGGACGGGTAGCATGAACATTGCAGACAGCTTCTCCTTCTACTTCGCGTCCGTGGGCTTTTATCTCTACAACGTGGTCACGGATATCTCCATGAGTGCGTATGCCACTCGCCAAACACCTCCAGCCTGTCACTCCAAAACTGGCACCGGGCGACAAAAACGGCCATGGTCTAACATGGCAACCTGAAATGGCTGAGCATAGACGATAGACCTATCAGCTTGAGCTTCAGCGCTTTCATTTATGGAAATAATCCGTGTACAATTTTGTACCCGTTGAGATCCCAAAAGAATCCCGTATACATATACTGTAACTAGGTTGCGGTTCCCCAGGTCGCCTGGTGTAAACAAGGCGCCTGGGGAAGTGCTCGATCATTCCCACACGATTTTTCTCACTTGGTCAGCTGGGCGATTTGTTTCAAGAACTGAGCACGTTACCGGACTGACTCTACAGCCGTTACCGTGGATAGACAGCGAGAGAACAACGTGACACGGGACGAAGTGAATCGATGCCGTGATAAATGTTTGGCAAAAACTAACAGCGCCGAGGTCGCGTTTCAAGCACTCGGACCAAACTTCACACCAACAACGAAACAAATCCTGGGAAAAATCCGCTAAAACCGAATATTGTAACACCCACCGATCTTCATCTAAAGAACATTTCAACACAAAAGCACAGACGTCGTCCAAGTCCCGGGGCGCTAATTCGATCAAAGAATCTAAAACATACGGATCCACTACGAAGAACGGCTGTAAAGGAGTCGGAAAGTCAAAACAAGCTAAACTTTGGTCACATTCGAACGCCAACCGCAACAACAACACACTACACAAACCTAAAACTGCGTCAGAATCCATGAAGCCAAAACTTGCAGGGCATTGAAACATGAAACGAACCCCCCCCTTTCCCTTTCCCCCCCCCCCCTGAAAAGTAGAGCCTACCTGTACAGGGTTCCACTCTAACAGCTGATATAGTGTGTCCATGCTTGACTGCTTCAAGGCTCAAAGAGCAAGAGGATAAGACTCTGCGCATAAAAGACACTAGCGGTCTGCACCTCTACCGTGTACGCCCTAGTCACTCTTTCAATCTCTTTCAGTGGTAGCGGAGCTGTGATCCTGGAAGACCCAGGTGAGCTCCTTTCCTAGGCATAGACTTGCTAGTGGGCAAACAGCCATGGATTGGATAGACGACTGGGAAGAGCCTGATGCGGATGTGGCTTATGAGCCAGCAGCCTACGTGAATAGGCATGTGAGAAGAGAACCAGCAGCAATAGCTATGACAACACAGGTCACTACAAAGGTGCCCCCATCTTATGATGGAAAGACTTCATGGTTTTCCTATGAGGATGCCATAGACGATTGGTGTGATATCACCGAGCTGGAAGATGAGAAGAGAGGACCAGCATTGAGAAACAGATTAGAAGGAGAAGCAGCTGTATACAAGCGTGTTTTAGACAGAGATGCATTGAAGGCAAATGATCCACCAGGAGCCGGCGTAGAATATTTCAAACGAGTACTACGACCATATTTCGTGAAAGGATCAACCAATGTATTCCTGTATAGGTTCATGCAATTCGTGCGCTTCAATCGAGGATCAGCTGACATGATGAAATGGATGACAAGATTCCAGATTTTACTCCAAAGGCTTATGAGCAGTTGGATGGACATGTTAGAACCAGTCACTCAAGCACATCCACAAGTCCTAGCACAGATGCAGGCAGATGCAGCGTTGACTGGAGTAGCACCAACGGCAGAAAGGATTCAGGAAATCATGCAGAATGTCAATGGCAATATGAGAATTCTTCATCAGAATGATTTTCCTTTAGGAGAAAATCTCATTGCCTTACTCATGCTGTCACTTGCAGATTTGTCTCAGGACCAGCGAAACACTTTGACTTCTTTGATGACTCATCGTGGCAGGGTCCTGCAGCAATACACTACAACAGAGTTGAGGACAGTGTTCATCGAGATGTTCTGCACAACAAAGACTTCAGTAGACAATCCTTTGATGCAGCCGACAGGTGCTGGAGGTAGAAGATCATTTCTCGTACTAGACGAAGGAGAACTCGATGGTACATTTGGCTATTGGGCCGAAGATGAAGAAGATGGAACTGAAGGATTTTTAGATGCCCTGGACGATGTCTTTTGGGTATATGATGATCAAAACTTCTCATGGTTCCAAAGGAGATTCCAAGGAAGAAGAGCCAGAAAAGGCAAAGGAAAAGGAAGAAGAAAAGGAAAAGGTAAAGGAAGATCAGGCCGCAGATTCTTCAGACCTCGTGGAAAAGGAAAAGGAAAGAGACGAGGTAAAGGCCATTTTGCTGATGAGCAACAGACAACATATCCAGAAGAGTACTTTGAAGAGAATCCTTATGAGGACACTTGGGAGTCAAACCAAGTAGCATATGATGCCATTCTTGCCGAAGATATGAATGACTATCTTCAAGGAGAATATGATGATGCCAATGACTTTTGGCAACAGCTTGAAGAAGCATGGTTTTCCCACAAAGGAAAAGGAAAAGGCAAGAGAAAAGGCAAGAAAGGAAAAGGAAAAGATAAAGGAGATGGCAAACAAGATGCAAACTATGCAAATCAACAACAGCCACGTTCTTTACCTGCACCTTCAAGATCTTCACAAGCATCAGGAGGTCAACAAGGTTTCTTTGCACATCGCGTGACAGCAGCAGCTGAAGTCCATGACAGTGAGGTGGACTTGCTGTCAGGCATGATGACCTCATGTCAAGATGAAGCTGACTGCGCGGTCAACAATGGTGAGACTATCTTCAATGGCATGGGTGCCCCTGTGAGGTACTCTTTGTCAAGGGAGATGCTCACAAAGGCTCCTGATGGCTTTGCGCTTATGAGCGCTGAGGAAGAAGTGAAGGAGATGCAGGCCATTTCATTTTTGACTGAGAATCGCTTCCCGCCGACTATTGCAATCCTGGACATTGGATGCACTAGAGCTATGGGATCAAGGCGAGCAGTCGACCATTTTTGCAACTATGTCGACAATCATCCAGATTGTGGATTATGGTACACTTTTGAGTCTACCAAGAGCAAGTTTTACTTTGCCAATTCCCAGAAAGCTACTTGCTCTCAGAAACTGGTGATTTACATGTATGATCGTGCATGGACGATCCACCATACAGAGTTCGACATAGTGGAAGAAGGAGAAGTCCCTTTGCTTATGAGCTTGCCACAGATGAGGAACTTAGGCTTTGAACTCAGGCTGACACCTCAACATGCTTATCTGACATCGGTGCCTCTTGGCATCAAATATTTGGAGTTGAAGGTTGCAGCCAGTACTCATCTTGTCTTGGACTTCCAAGATATTGCATGGTATCTGTCTGACGTGAATTTGCAGACTCGGCGCGAGAAGAGTTTTTACTCTCACTTCACTCACTATGAATATGGTCATATTTCTGTTGATCACAATAGTGATGAAGATGTAGCTGAACATGCATATCCTGTGGTTGACTACTGGGAAGTAGATGTTCACAAGAGAGAACTGATACGTCACCACAAGGATTATAGAAAGATTCTTTTTCCAGCAACTAAGTCCTGTCCTGTAGACACTGACTTACTGGAAGACTTGCGACTGACAATCATCAAGAAGAAGAACGGTGGAGAAGAGATCAAGAAGCAAGATGATTGGCGTAAGGCAAAATGGAAGAACCTACAAATTGGCTATGAATGGCGTGGTAGAACAATTTTTAAGTTCAAACCAGATGCCAAATTTCCAGATCTAAAGATCAGGAAGGCTGGCATTGAGCACCGTGGCATTGGTGATCCCGATGCAGTGGTGCGCTCCTCCTCAGAGAAGGTTCCCATTGCAAAGGACAGGGAACCAGGCTTCTCGTCAGAGAAGGAAGGTGCACCATCAAGTGCCGCGGAAAAGCCCGTGCCGCCAAAGTTTCGGTATACTTCCAAGGGTTTTGATCCATTTTGGAAAGGACACAAGTCGAAACCATCTGAGCCTCAGAATGATTTAAAGGGTGATGATCTTGAGGAGTACGCTCCATCAGAACCACCTGAGAGGCCAGAAGGTGAACTTGTAGAAATTCCTAAAGCATCAAAAGGACCATCAAGTGATAAACATGAACCACTTGAACCAGGTGATGGCGCTCTTGAGCCTAGGCGGATTTCAATCCCATTACCTGGTAGTGAAGTTGTTGCAATGACACCGGCATATAGGAAGATGTTACAGAGACTGGAGGACACGGTAGAGCTTTATAAGCTTCATGTGAAGCACTACCATATGAGTCCTACTCAGTTTCGTAGACGTGTTTCTATGTTGAAGCTTCCTGACTCTGTTTTAGAGAAGTATGAATCAGTTGTCAGGAACTGCCGTGTTTGTAACACTTCAGTGGCACCTCCGCCACGAGCCAGAGTCTCCGGTATTAGAGCTTCATGTTTTGGTGATGTTGTTTTTGCTGATCATTGTGAGGTTGAACTTCACAAGAACAAGTATATCATCTTACTTGTTCTTGATGGTGCCACAAATCTTCTCTGGGCTACGGCGCAGAAAGACCTCATAGATCAAACCACCATCCAAGCATTGAGGCAGTGGTCTGATGAGAACAACTGTGTTCCGAAGGCCATCGTAGGAGACGAAGCCTTTTTCACCGATGCTTTTGTTGAATACTACAGGTTCCATGGTATACAACAATGTCCTTGTGGGCCAAGAACTCCTTGGCCGAACCGAGCAGAGACAGCTGTACGTTTGTTCAAACGTATGTGGCATGTTATGAAGGTAGATCTGGATGACCCACGTTTTCGTGGTGTTACGGTCAGAGAAGTGGTCAAGAAGGTAGTTTGGGCAAGAAATTGTCAGTTGACTATCAGTGGATATTCACCAATAGAGATAGCAACTGGAAGACGTCCACCAGATCTTTTTGACCTTGAGACTGCAAGCCCTGAGCAATTGTCAGCTAATGCCGCCGCACAAGATCGTACAAATTTGGAACTACAACGTGTGGCTTTGAGAGCTCATCAAGAAGCACGACAAGCTCAGGACCTTCGAGCAGATCTTGCAAGAAGGACTATGCCAAGTGACGGTCCTTATTTCCAAGGAGAGAAGGTTTTTGTTTGGACTCAGGATTCATCAAA